CAAACCCCCTCCCCCCCAGCCCCCCGCAAGGTTCCAAGAGGATTTTTGCCATTGACTTTAATGGCCCCATTGGTTATAATGGACCCAAATTTTTCGGGAATTTTTTTCGGGATTCGGACAAGCTCATAAATTGCTAATTCGGGATCCCAAAAGCCGAAAAAAGCCGAAAATCGTTATTTTCGGCTTTTTTTTCGGTTCGGGATCCCGAAATGCACATCCCTAGAGATGAGCTTCTAATGTAAATCAGCAAATACAATCTCTTTTGATAAGCTATTATCAGGCCTTACAGCCGACATGTCATGAACACCAAAGCAGCACAAAGCAGAGTACTGCTGCCAGCCATCAGCCTGTAGTAAACAGCAACCACTCCACTCAGTCCAAGTCTCATAAAAAGCTGACCAAGTTACTGCTACTGCTGGCATGCAATGTCTGGAAAAAGGGAAGACTGACAACAGCAACTTCATGCTATGCATAATTTTATTTATTTATTATTGTCCCAAGGGCGGGACTCGCACCCCCCCCCCCAGGACCGGAGTCGCCGAGCCTTGCACGAAGCCGGGCGGACGGGGCACGATCACCCCGACACTTACCCAGGCAGCGGGGCGAGGTGGAAGGAGCTGGTGTTGTGGGGAAGGAACGGAGGTGAGGTGTCTCCACAGAGGGAGAAAGCCAGCAACGGTGGGGAGGGCGGTGTTGGCGTAGGAAGCGACGACATGGGCACCTGCGGAGGCCCAAAGATGTTGGGCGGCTCTGAGGTGGCACGCCCACACAGCAGAGCTCAGTGGCCGGGAGCTGAAAGGGCCGGGAGAATGGCCACACCCAGGGGTGAGCGTCCCAGGTTTTGTAAGGGGGTGGAGCCAGGAGCGGAGGAGGGCACGGGAAGAAGCAGGGCCCACCGGGAAGAGGGCTGGGGAAATATAAGGGGGAAGGAGGAGGAGGCCGGGGATGACTCCTGGATGCAACGCAGCCTAGAGAGACGAAGGGCAGCATCCAGCAGGGAAGGGTGTGAGGAACGGTGAGTTAACCTTCCCCACCCTCCAGGTGTCTGAGGCCACTACCCTCCATTGGGCAAGGAGAAGGGAGTGGGGATCAACATGGCTGGAGTCGGCGGACTTGGGAGCTCGAGCGAAGAGGACAGCGAGGGGTCGTCCTCGAGCTCCTGTGACAATTATATCAGATGTTTATACTGCCACCCTGGCAAGCAGGCTCTATATCCCTTTTGTATTAAAATTAATAGCTATTACATGCATTGCTCTCTCTATGGTTTGAGTCAGACCAATGTCAAGCTGTGGTTGGATGCTATGTGAAAAAAACTGGAAAAGGCCTCAAAATCATCTGCTCTCTTTGCTTTTGTTTTGGGGAAAGTGATAGTTTCCCACTATATACAAACAGTTCAGGGACAAAGAAGTAAATAGTGATATACAAAGAGAGGCAGAAGCAAATGAACTAGAGGCTTGTTTAAGTAGCATTAAACCATATTTTAGAGTTCTAGTATATTGCATTTTTATCCCCAATTCCCTCCAAGGTCAGGATAGCATACAGGGTTCCTTCCTTCTACCATTTTTCTTTACAACAACACAAGTAGATTAAGCTGACAGAGAAAGTATAACTGACCCAAAGGCCACCCAGTGATAGGGAGCAGGACTCTGAACTTGGGTCTCCCAGTCCAATATTCTAACCACTGCAGCACAGCAACTTTCCAACATGAACCAACCCTGTAAAAGTCCAAATCCAATAGGGGACATCAGTGCTCATCTCAGATGTTGAGCTCAAATGGTTTACCTCTTCATAGACTTCTCTGACTGCAGCACCACCTGGTTCTTCTTCTGGTTCCATTCCTCCACCTGGAACAATCCATTGATCTGGATACCGGCTGCTGCTTACTAGCAGAACCTAAGAAAAGACAAATGCATTTTATAAAGCCTTCAATAAATACTACACTATTGAGATTTCTTTTTGACAGCACACTTACATTGCCTAAGATCACAGTACAAAGCAAACTGTATTTAGACAAAATAAGCAAGGTGTTAATATTGTTCCCAGCAGCAACTGAAAAACTGCAGACTCTAAGAATAGTGTACTCTTCTCTCTAGCGTTAAAAAGAAAGGAGTCTTGACATGTCTATATCAGATAGTTATAAATAATGCATTTTAGTTCAGAACACATCTTGTTCAAGCTATGCTGTCCTAATATCAATGCTATTCAAAGTCACCTTACTGAAATCAGGCATTTGTTACCCCTATAGAAATTAACAAAAGGTTGTTGATTCAAATTCTCGGGGTTTTTTGTTCAGTATGATTGTCTTGCACTGACTACAGACGTGTTTTACCGAGTAAATGAAAAGCAGTATCAACTTTACAAGGACTTCACTTCTTATAGCATGTGGTAGGCTTGTCTGATCTTTATTAGGTACTAGGAATAAGACCCATTGTGGAAATAAATACAACAAGCTCTAGAAAGAGGCTCTGAGAGAGTGCCAAGGCCTTGGGCACTCAGCGTCAATGTGCTGTGGCGACCTCAGCAGGGTATAATGACACAGAGTCCACCATTTTCTCCAGAGGAACTGATCCGCTACCTGAAGAGCAGTTGTAATTTTGAGTGATCTCCAGCCCTCACCTGGAGATTGGCAACAATTGTTACCCAGGAGGAAATGGCTGGTCTGGAGGGTGGAGTCTATGGCATTGTACCTGTCTGAGGTCCCACCCCTCCTCAAACCTCACCCTCTCCAGGCTCCAGCCCTCAAATCTCCAGGAATTTCCCAACCTGGAGTTGGCAACCCTATCTCCTTCCCAGCCAAGCATCAACCTGCCATTATCTGCCCCTCTGATTTCAGCCTTGCATCTCCTCCCCCCTCCCTCCTAGAGATCAGTTGTAATTCTGAGTGATTTCCACCCCTCTCCTGAGATTGGGAACAGTGGTTCCCCAGAAAGGAATGGCTGGTTGGGAGGGTGGAGTCTATGACATTGTACCTGTCTGAGGTCCCACCCTTTCTCAAACCTCACCCTCTCCAGGTTCCATCCCTCAAATCTCCAGGAATTTCCAACCTGGAGTTGGCAATCCTATCTCCTTCTCAGCCCATTATCAACCAACCTTTATTTCCCCCTCTCTTCAACTTTCCATGCCCCCCCCACACACACCTGCAGCCTCTCCCGTGCTCTGAAACCCTGACTGCCAGAGTCCACCATTTTCTGTGCTCTGAAGCCCT